CGACCCCGTGGATGCAGGGTGAGTTTGCGCCTATGCCCCGCACGTCTTGCTGATGTGAAATCCGTGTATGCATGGGATCTCGAATCGGCGGCCAGGTCGCGAGGGCACGGACACAGATAGGTGAGTCCTTCGTGAGCCCTTGCTCCGTTTTTGCCTCCCCCTCCTGTACTGCGAGCGCAGGGACAAATTCGATCCGATCGATCCGATGTGTTGTCGACCGTTTAGATCCCATCCGATGCCGATGTTCCGACGATCTGATGTTGCCCGAAGTCCGCACGGCGCTATCGTGCAACCCGACGCGTTTCGATCCGATTCGACTCCGACTCCGCAGCGGTGCGGCCCGATCAGACGGGCCCTCCGCTCCGACCTGATCTCATGGAGCTGATGCTGGCCGCTCCGTGCTGATGCGGCCCGTCCACCGAGACGACCGCAGGAGAAGCGCCGAGGGGGGCCTCGAACTCCGTGCCGATGCGGCCCGTCCACCGAGACGACCACAGGAGGAGCGCTGAGGAGGGCCGCCGAGGGGCGCTCGCGCTGTCGGACCGCGCCGCGCGAGCCGCTCTCGCGACGGGCAGGGGAGGCGTCCCGCGAGGGCCTCGCGATCGCTTGTCGAGCGCCCTGCCGCACATCGCGTCGGCACGATCGAATGCGGGGCGGGAAAATGACCACAGCCACTGCTTCTTGTTTGCGCCGCCTTCCAGCCGGCCGAAAAAGAAGCAGTGGCTGTGGTCATTTCCCTGGTGCCAAGCTCAACGAAAATGACCACAGCCACTGCTTTGTTTCTGCGGGCTGGAAGGCGGCAACAAAAGAAAAGCCGTGGCTGTGGTCGTTTTCACGCCCCGTATCGAAGTGGTGTCGGACAGCGTGGGGTTCAGAAAGCCAACGGCAGCCCTGCCCACGTGAGCAGACTCGGTGCCGGTGCCGCTGCCGACGCTTGGCATTTTTTTGTGGGGGGGCTCGGGGGTGGACAGACCTCCTACCCTGACGCGTCGATTAGTGAATCGGCCGTTTTCGGTTCGCGAGAGGGCGTCGCGGCCGTCATTTTTGCGGGTCCAGGTCCGTCGGTTTCGGTACCAGGCCGCTTCCACTAAGGGGAGGTTTACTACAGGGAGGTTTTTTTTATTTCTATTTTTTAACACTAAAGGGAGGTTTGTCCATTGCCGAGGGGCGACGGGTCGCCTGCCCATCACAGCGGCCGCCGGCGGGCCCCGCGGCGTTTGCTGCCGGGCCTCGTCCCCGGGAGCTCGGCCCCCAGCTCGGGCCCGCCGGGCCGGCAGCCCAGCCGCACAGCAAGGCTGGGCGCACTTTCCCAGCTTGGCATCGCTCGGGCGTGTGCACTGTTTATCGGCGGGGATTATCTAATCGCTTCGCTCCTTCCGCGGGCTCTGGAGCGCTATTTGGGGCCTCTTGTGGCCGTCTTGGGGGCGGGGCCTCTTGGGGGCTTCTTGGGAGCGTCTTGGGGCTCCTTGGCGGCGTATTAGGCTCCCCTGGGGCCTCTTGGGGGGCCGCCCCGCGCGCGCGAACTAGAACTATTGTTAAGAAGTTACCCGAGATCTTAGCACGCCTCTGGCCCGTTGGGCCGGCGAATTCAGGAGCATCCTGGATCATCCTGCGAAAAAACCACGCACGAAGCCAAAAAAGCACAGGGAATGCACGTCCGAGCGACGGGGGGCCAGGGGTAGGGCCTCAAGACCCAAGGCCCTTGCATCCTCCCCGCGCACCCATTCGATACGGTCGGAGGTTGATTGACCTCCTACCTTGACACGTCGATTAAGGAATCGGCCGTTCTCGGTTCGCGAGCGGGAATCGCGGCCGTCATATTTGAGCGTCCAGGTCCGTCGGTTTCGGTCCCAGGCCGTTTTCACTAAGGGGAGGTTTGCTAAAGGGAGGTTTGTCCACCGCCGATACGGGTTGACTGCACTCAAGCACTACCAAACTATGTTCTAAGAACCTTTTGTGGTTTCCACGAAATGTTCTTAGAGCATTTCTGGCTGGGGCTGTCTTGTTTTATCACATCGGGTTTATGTTCTAAGAGCATTATCTTTGTTATTCGAACGTTTTTGGATTCTAAGGGCATCTCGTGGTAGGACTCTAGGAATGCGGGGACGCTCGGTCCCTGCTCAATGCAGTCCTCCTTCCGCCGCCGCCGCCGCCTGCGCGGAGGACATCGACGCCACCCTGTCTGCGGCAGGGATTCGCGAGGAGGACCCCGGACGCCCCAGGTCTTGCCTCTGTCGCCGCCCATGTCGCCGCCCATCCTCCTCCTCCTCCTCCTCCTCCTCCTCCTCCTCCTCCTCCTCCTCCTCCTCCTCCTCCTCCTCCTCCTCCTCCCTCTCCTCCTCCTCCTCCCTCTCCTCCTCCTCCTCCTCCTCCTCCTCCTCCTCCTCCTCCTCCTCCTCCTCCTCCTCTGGTGGAGAAGAGGGAGGACGGGAGGGGTTCCCGAAGCGGGGGGGCGAAGCAGGAGTCTGGGCGGCTTCTGAGGCGTGCAGGCGCTCGTCTGGGTGCCAGCCGCTTCCTGGCCACCCGGCAGGGGCCGCACGTGTGGCCCCAGTCTCCATGTCACCATGGAGCCCCTCGAGGCCGGCTCCGGTGCCGTCCTGGGGCCAGCGAGTTCCTTCTGGGCAGGAGCCAGCAGGCTGTGCACGCCCCGAAGGTTGAGCTCCAGGATAGGAAGTCGCGGGCTAGAGTTCCGGGGGGGACTGGAAGTTCCCTGACTTACTGTAGACCGCACAGCGTGGAACATGCAATTTGCATCCTGGTACGATAGTTGTTGATGATCAGGGGTCGGTCATCGATGTGCCACCGATACCTCCAACGTCGGTTTGCGAGCTAGCGCGTAAAGGTGTTTACGGATGGCAGGCCAACATGATATTTGGCCACAATCGTGGTGTAGGTTAAGGCAACGAAGCAGCGTGGCTTCTGATCCTTCACATATCCAAGGCGACGAGCAATCATTCAAGGTTTGCACGCGCGCCCCGCATTCGATGGGCTGGAAAGACACGGACAAGGGATAGACGGCACAAGGCGGGATGCAACATTCGTCTTCGGTGTCCTTGGCGCGGAGACGCTCGCGCAGTTTTCGCGCGCGATGTGCCAGTTTTACCATGATACCACTGACGAGGATCTCCAGTGGGACGGCTGGATCACGTGTGCGAGTAACTGCTTACGCGAAAGAGGTTACCAAGGGCTCGCGGCCCACGACTCGGATCGAATCGGCACGTCGCTCTGTATGCCGCCATGTCCCGGGTTTCCTCCCGAGGGCCCCGCGGAGGGGCTCGAGGTCACACTGCTGGGCGACGGGATTCGGACGATCTGCCTGGTCTCCGTCGGTGTTCACCGAAGGGTCTGGACGGGCCCCGAGAGGGCTGCTGTATCCCTCGAGCATCGCTTGCTGCGTCGGCCATTGCCTCCCTGGCGCAGGAGGGCAATGGGGTGGGGTTGCTTCCATGCCGACGCTCAAGCTCAGTGCGCGGGTTGATGGAGGGGCATGTTCAGTATTGTCTCAGGGCGACAGCCGCCCGATTTTTAGTGGTGCCCAGTTCACAAAGCAGCGGAGGAGTTTGTGGAAGTCTCCCAGTATCCGTGGGAGTAGTACCTCGGACATGCGCGGGCGGACAGATTTTCTAAAATGGGGGCGATTTATCAAGCCTTCGCTCACGCACTTGTCAAATCATATGAAGGGTGTTTGGTCGAATGCGATGTATCAGTCGCAGTTCATATCATGGTGTGCATGCAGTATGACCAATCGAGATGCGTTGAGTGATCGTTTTGAGCGCTTGTATAGTCCAGCCCTTCCTCGGCTTGTGGCTCTCTTGGCACAGTTGACGGTAATCAGGAGCCCCAGCGTATTCCAATGCAAGGAGCGTTTGGTTCTTTCATGGACACTGTATGCCCACGGCCCGACAGAAATTCAGGGCCCAAATTTATGCTAAGTTGCAGGGCGTCCTATCTACGCGCGCTGTGTTGTTATCAGACGTGTCCGCATCTTGCCGCTTCACTTTGTGCTCAGGGTGAGCGGCTTATGAGTTGGCCCGTTCTCCCGTCCTTCGGCTGCACGACTCGGCCAGCCTTTTGGTCCTCCTCCCTCCCCTCTCCCTCCCTCCCTTCCTTCTCCTCCTCCCTCCCCTCATTCTTCCTTCTCGATCCTTCTCCTCCCTCCCTCCTCCTCCTACTCCGCCTCCTCCTCCTCGTCGTCCTCCTCCTCCGCGACCCTCCCTCTTCCTCCTCCCTCGATTCTCCCTCGTCGACGCTTCCCCTCCTCGGTCCTCGATCCTCTTCGAGCGGCTCGGCGGCGCTCGGCGGCCTCTTTCTCCGGCCCCCTTGTGGTTCTTCTGCGGCCTTCGGCGTCGGCGACATAGAAGCGCGAGTCTCTCCGATGAGCGCCGCGCGCGAGAGTGCGGAGTGAGCCGAAGGCCTGCCAGAGCCGCCGAGGTCGGCGTGGGCGAGCAGGCAGGCAGGCGCGGTGAGGTCCCCCCCATAGACGCGTCGAAGCGAGCTCTGGGAGGAGACCCGCGCCGAAGCGAGCCGAATCGAGCCGGCGTCAGCGCGCAGGACCTGGTGGCCGGGGACGAGGGCGGGTGCGAGGCGTTCGACGCGGACCCGAAGCTGCTGCAGAAACACATCGAGGAGCCTCACGCAGTCGTTCCAGGGGAAGGAGGGTTGGGTGCGTCCATTGGGGGTGATGACTATGTGTGTGTGTGTGTCTGTCTGTCTGTCGGTCGGTCGGTCGGTCGGTCGGTCGGTCGGTCCTGTCGGTCAGTTGGTCTGTCTGTCTGTCTGTCTGTCTGTCTGTCTGTCTGTCTGTCTGTCTGTCTGTCTGTCTGTCTGTCTGTCTGTCTGCCTGCGGGTGTCATGGCCCACTATTCCAAGGTGCCCTCTGTTTCTTCCAGCGCCTCCCGCTGCCCCCACTCGCCCTCCTTCGTCCTCCTCCTCCTACCCCCTCCCCTTCTCCCGTCCTGCCCCTCCTTCCGAGGAGAACGTGTACCAGGTCGAGCAGCCAGGCCGCCGCCGCCTGTGCCGGCCCGGCCCCGAGTGCCGCCGCTCTCTTTGAGTCCCGCATCTCCCGTCTCCTCGGGATGTTCGGGCCGAACGAAAGGGGGGGATAGGGAAAGGGTTACGAAATCTGCTGCATGCAGCTGGTTTTCCCCGCCGCCGGGCCCATTCCTCGACAAATTGGGCGCGGGAGGCGCCGGGAAGATCAGCTACGTAAGCTAATTCTCAAAACCCCCCTGTGCTATGTCCCCCTTTCGCCCGGCCCGAGATGTGCTTCAACTCGGCGTTCGGTCTGGCTGGCATTCTCGTGATTACGGTGCCTGCTGTGGCATGTTGTCCGAGCCCATCGTCTCCCCACAAGACATCCCCCCCCCGCCCGTTCGAGATGTCCGTTCGGGTTTCCCAATTGGGCCCCCTCTCGAGGCCGTCTTTGGGCCGTCTTGGGCGCCTCTTGGGCCGTCTTGGGGCCCTCTTGGGCCGTCTTGGAGCCCTCTTGGGGGCCTCTGGGGCCGTCTTGGGGCGCTCTTGGCGGCCCCGCGGGCCGTCTTGGAGCGTCGTGAAACCGAAAGGCGCGAACGCTGAAAGATTTGAGAAACCAGTGGGCATCCAATGACTTTGCTTCTTGGGGCTTTCTTGGGTGCTCCTCTTGACATGGGATGAGAGATCGTGCCGAACAGACGTGGAACCGCTGCATGCGGGTGGGAGCGGCCAAGCCAGGCCTTGGCGCAGGGGTGCATTCGAGTTCCTCGTGGGAGAACGAGCCTCAGGCGTACAGCCCGCTCCGGCATTGCTTGGTCCTGTTCCAGCGCCGCGTTTTTGTTGCTTTTGTTCCGGCTTGGCTCTGGTTCCATTCCAGAGCAGGTTCTCTGTCTGGGCGAACCGGTTCTTTGCTTTCCCGCTTTCAGGACCAAGGTTCTTGGAAACAGTGAAAAGACGGCCCTGCCGTTTCCACAAACAACGAATCATGAGGCGGCCACTGGTGCCGACCGCGCGAAATCTAGGAACCCTTTTATACATTTTTCTTGTCGGAGCGAGAGCCTCTTAGTGCAAGCGTTTTTTGATGAGTCAGTGCGCGCGGCAAGGGGTCGAACGCAGAAGACGATCTGGCCTGCGGCTCGTTGTTCTCGAGACAACAGTGTTTGGATTCCACGACTTGGGGGGCCGAAGCCCCGCAAGCACCCAGTGGGTCCTGACCGCATGTTGTAATAACCTATTTGGTTCAATACCACCGAATATTCCTGTGAAGCCCACAACAGTAGCGTTTCGTTGTTGATTGCTCTTGTCAGGGCTGTGGCACATCTGTCTTTGGCGACCTAGAAGCCATGAGCAAGAGCTGCTGCAGCTGCTGGCCAAGGCCCGCTGTTCGTCCAAAGCGGAACGATGTCATCGGCGAGGTTGTAACACAAGAGCAGTTGCAGCACGTACTCAGGCGCTTTGCAAAAGCAGGGAAAGATGCCTTGCATCGCTCAGCAGCAGCCGCAACAGGGCGGCGGCAAGAAACGTTAGATGCTGCGTGCAAGCTTGTGGAGGCTTTGCTGGCTGGAGTGCAGGCCCATCTTCCTGAAATTGTGAGCAGCGTATGCCTTGTGACAGGCGATGGTTGCTCAAACGTGTGTGACCGTTTCCATTGTCTAGATGTCATAGCGGCAGTGGTTGTAAGATTTCACGTGCGGGAGGTCAAAGGCGAGATTGCTACACGCTCTCGCATTGGTGCGTATATAAGGTTGAACCAAGAGGTGTGCTTTGGATTGGTTCGGCCGACAGCAGATGTCACCATGGAACCCCTCAGATTGGTAGTGTCTGGTTGGGAAATGCCAGCTCTACCCGAGACAGGCGACATCCGGAGGCGCTTGAAACAACTCTTTGGCGACAGATTCTGCAAACAGGAATGCTGGAAGTGGTGGCTTAAACATCGGAACAGAGAATATCCTTTGGAGAAGTCGAAGATGCGCAGGATCCATGGATCTGGTTTCGAAGGGCCTCCCATGTCTGTGCCTCCGGCGTGGGCAGCTGAGATTGCACTGTGGGGGTATTTGCACTCGCCATCTATTGTGTACGAGAGTTTTGATTTCTACGATGAGGGAAAGGCCGGAATCAGAGTCACAGCTCGCGTTGTGCCCTCAGATGACCCAGACGAGATCCGGTGCCGCGAAGTCATAGACGAGGCGCAGCGGGAAGCCATGCCACATAGAAGCATGACGGAGAAGTTCCTTCGATCTTCCATCAATATGGGAGCCCTCACGCATGGCCGCAAAACAAATTCCTTCGGGGCAGATCCAGCTGCGATTGCTAAGCTATCCGTAAGGGCTTCTCCCTCTGCCGCCCGCCCCCTCTCTATCATAATGGGGTGTGTCAGAGCTTTGCTGGGACGTGCCGGCGCTGTTTTGAAGACTTTTGGGAACAGCATGCGAGGAAGATTGGATTTCGCAAGCATCGTGAGATGTCGGAGTTGTTGCTGAACATTGTGTTTCCTTGCCTCTAGGCCTCCCAGATGTGGTCCGAGCAGATGGGGTCGAAGGATTGCGCCGCATCGCCGATGCATCGGAGATGTGGCTCGATGCGGAGCCCGACTTGCTCCGCGCCGACGTCGCCGATGTCGCCGACGTCGACGAAGCATCGCCGGTGCTTTGCCGATGCATCGCCGATGCATCGCCGATGTATCGGCGATGCGGTGCGATCCTCCGACCCCACCTACTCCGACCCCATCTAGGAGGCCTCTATTGTCAGAGCGAGACGCTGGCGTGATTTGCGAGCGAAGCTGACCTCGGGTGCGCGAAGCTGGCGCAGCTCCGGGCTGGACCTGAACGGTGTCTCTCAACGGCATTGTAACGGGTACTTACTAACGGGCACTTTGAAATGTTGCCGAAAGTTGCCACTCTAGGGCCTTTTTCTGGCATTGCAGCGTTGCCCACATCGGGAATGGTTGGGTTCGCGGGGTCGCTGGCCAAAGTACCCGTTAGTGGAGTCCCCGTTAGAGGGGCGCTGGAGATCTCGTGGGCCGTCTTCGTTTCGGCTCCCTTTTTGCGGTGAAGGCTGGTTCGAGACAAAAGCGAGGGAAAACGACACGAAAACGAGGAGCACTGCTCAGGTTCGGCCCTGGCGTAGCTTACGGGAAGGATTTTCCTGGCCGCGGGAGCGCGCCTGCCCTGGGGGGCTCCGGCCTCGGGAGCGCGAGCTTGTGGCCCAAGCTGCCATGGCCTCTGGCGTCGGGAGCGCGAGTCTGGTGTTGAGTCGGGCAGTCGGGCATGTCCCCCTACAGGAGGAGTAATCAAAGATAGTCAAAAGAAAGATAGCTTGGGAACGATACTTTCTGTAGGTATCTGTTTTGATCATCTGTCCCCCGTCAGAGCTCACCTCTGTAGGGGTCCTGGCGGATTGCTTCCCCAGTCGGAGCTTGCCTCTGTAGGGGTCCTAGCAGATCCACTCCCCAATCCGAGCTTGCCTCTGCATATGTCCTAGCGGATGCAGATGGTGAGGTGGGTTTTGCCGCCGATTTCCGCAGCCAGCACGGGTGCCCAGGTGCCCGGGTGCCCCGGTGCTGTGGTGCCCAGGTGCTCGGGTGCCCGGGTGCCCGGGTGCCTTATAGCCCTATAGCCCTGTATCCCATAGTTCTATAGCCTTTTAGCCCTGTAGCCCTATAGCCTTATAGCCCTATAGCCCCATAGCCCAATAGCCATAGCTTTATAGCCCTATAGCCCTATCGCCCTAGAGTCCTACAGCTCTATAGCCCTAAAGCCCTATAGCCCTATAGCCCTATAGTGCTGTAGCCCTACAGCCCAATAGCCCTATAGCCCCATAACCCTGTAGCCCTATAGCCCTATAGTTCAATACCCCAGGCGCCCTATAGCCCTATAGCCCAATATCCCTATAGCCCTATTGCCCTATAGCCTTATAGCCTCACACCCTATAGCCCTATAGCCCGATAGCTCTCAATGCCTATAGCCCTACAGCCCTATGGCCATATAGCCCTATATCCCTATATCCCTATATCCCCATAACCCCATGGTCCTATAGCCCTATAGCCCCATAGTCCTATAGACTCACAGCCCTGTGGCACTTTAGCCCTATAGCCCAATAGCCCCATAGCCCCATTGCCCCATTGCCCCATTGCCCTATAGCCTATGACCCTATTGCCCTATAGCCCTGTAGACCTACAGCCATATGGCCCTATAACCCTATAGCCCTATAGCCCCATAGCCCCATCGCCCTACGGCGGAATAGCCCCATAGCCCAATACCCAGAAAAAGTCTTTGATATGGTTTTTCTCTGGTATCATATGGTTAGGTGAGGTTTACCGCCGATTTCCGCAGCCCGCCCGGGTGCCCAGGTGCCCGGGTGCCCGGGTGCCCGGGTGCTTTACAGCCTTATAGCCCCGTTGCCCCATAGCCCTATAGCCTTATAGCCCTACAGCTTTCTAGCCCATAGCCCAATAGCCCAATTGTCCTCTATCTTTATAGCCCAATAGCCCTATAGCCTTATAGCCCTATCGCCCTAGAGTCTTACAGCTCTATAGCCCCATAGCCCTAAAGCCCTATAGCCCTAAAGCCCTGTAGCGCTGTAGCCCTATAGCCCAATAGCCCTAGAGCCCCATAGCCCTGTAGCCCTATATCCTTATAGTCCAATAACCCAATAGCCCTATAGCCCTATAGCCCTAATTCCGAACCTTTTTTGACGATGTTCGAGCATGCTCTGAGTATTTCTTCATTTTCGCCCACAGCCCGCCTGTAGATGGACATGCCCGACCTAAAATTGGAACCTTCGTGCAGGGTGCAGGGGACCTTGGCCGCGAAGCCTGGCTGCCCAGCAAGGGGCCCGGCGGGTTCTCTGCGGCAAGGGCCTGGGGGCCCGGCAAGAGAGGTTGGCAGGTCGTGGATGACACGTGGCTGTGCACGGACATCAAGAATCCTATGTCGAGAGAGACAAATCTGCATAAACATAGCATTTTGACACTCCGCGCGGATTTCTTGGATCCGCGCTGGGCCCCCCCCCCCCGGGTGGGGGGTCCAGC